GTGAAAAAACCTGCTCCTCAAATATCTGTTTTCCCCTCATAAGTATTAATTAACTCACCAGAGGAATATCTTGCCCAGAATCCAAATGGCACAGTAACTGTCATGAAATACCATCTCTATGGAGACTGTGAGGTCCCTGGTACTCCAACGCCGGATTGTGTACATGAATCATCCTCTAATGAATAATGAGAAGATTGTTCCTCTTTTAGTAAAACAAGAATGCAAGTAGAAGTGATACATCAGTAAGGAAAAATATTTATTTTTCTTCAAAATCCATTACCAGAAGTGTTTGTATAAGTCACGTATTTTTTAAAATGTAAATCAATGTATTATACATGCATGGTTAAATGAATCAAATAATGAAGACATCTCTACCCTAGTCCTGCTTCCCGGGGCAACTGTTCTTATATGGCAAATGTTAAATTGATCTACATTATATGATCTCCACTGAATTTTTGCCACAATTGCTGAAGACTGAGCTCTTTTTACACCTTCTTCAAATTTTCCTCCACCCTTTTCCTCCCAATATAGCTTGTTTTTTCTTTCCTGCTTACTTCTACAGCTTTGAACAGCCTTGCCAAACCTGTTTTTTGTTTGTTTGTTTGTTTGTCATCCACCATACAATTTAGGGAGAAAAAAAGCAAAAAGTTAGGTAGACAGCTAAGGCTAGTCATTGGAGAAGCAGCCTGAAACATCACAGCTACAGGCACAAGTAGATCAACCTGGGGAAAACTCAGGCTGCAGCTGCACAGATAAGGAGGCAAGGTCCAGCATAGAAGCCTTTTGTTCTTTTTGTGATTGGTGGGATCCCAGGAAAAAGTTACCTCCCCTTTTCAGACATAGACATGGTGGGCTCCATGGGTGCTTTCATGGGGAGGGGAGGGGGGCTTACCTAAAACAAACCCACAGTTATACAAACAAGAGAAGCTGTGCTTTGTGCTTACCTAGAGACAAACCTATAGCTGCATAGATAAGGGAAGTTACACAGACAGCTGTACAGATAAGATAATTTGCTCAAGCAGCTGCAGAGCTGACAAGTGTTTCTTATAAAAGTTTCTGAATTCAACTGTAAAACAGCAGCCCACTAGGGCTCCCCTCTCTGTTGCCGAGAGCTTTCTTCTTTTGCTTATTAAATGTTTACTTCAACCTCACCCTTTGTATCCATGCTTCTGAATTCTCTTGGTGGCAAGACGACAAGCTTGGATAACACCTCAAACAACAAGACCACTGACCATTGACCCGGTTTTAGAATGTCTCTCTTAGTTGCCCATTTCTCTTTGCTCTCCTTCCTTCCAAGCTCTGTCACCTATATTTATCTTCTGTTTTATAACAACAATTTAATTATAACAATAATTAAACAGGGTATAATTTCCTCACAGGATATTTCTAACAATAGAAGCCAATAAACAGTATTTAAATAATTGTTTTCATATTATAGCAAATAATCTTTTAAAATTAAAGTATTTATTCTCCATATAGTCACTGTAAATACTGATATTTTGGGGTTTTAATCTACCACATTACTATTCATTTTCTATTATCTCTCACCTGTTTAATGTTCTTTTCTCTCTTTCCTTGATTTTGAGTTATTTTTTTAAAATTTTATTTCCCCCAATTTTTAATTTATTAACTAATTTTTAAATAAGATTTCTTTACTCTTCCTTTAGTGGTTGACTTGGGCATTATGAGATATATCCTTGTTAAAATTACTTATTTATTTATTTTAATTGACAAATATAATTGTACCTTTTTATGGGGTGTACATAGTGAAGTTTTTTGATACATACGAGGTATAGCGATCTGATTAGGATAATTAGCATATCCATCCTCTCAAACATTTATCATTTCTTTGTGATGGAAATATTCAATATCCCCTCTTTTAGCTATTTGAAACTATGTAATATATTGATGTTAAACATGGTCATCCTATAGTGCTATAGAATACTAGAACTTATTCATCCCACCTAGCTAAAATTTCATAACCTTTAAGGAATCTCTCTCTATTCTCCTTTCCTACAACCCTTCCTGTCCTCTAGCATCCTCCTTTCTTTACTTCTGTGAGATCAACTTTTTAAGCTTCTGCATATGAGTGAGAACATGTGGTGTTTAACTTTTTGTTCCTGGCTATTTCCCTAAACATAATGTTCTCTAGGCTCATCCATATTGCCATAAATGACAGGATCTCATTCTTTATGATGTCTGGATAGTATTTCCATTGTGCATACATACCACATTTTCTTCATTCATTCATCTGTTGTTGGACACTGTGGTTGATTCCTTATCTTGGCTGTTGTAAATAGTGCTGCAATTAATGTGAAAGTCACCAGCCACAGTGGCTCACACCTGTAATCCTAGCACTTTGGGAGGCTGAAGTGGGCTGATCGCTTGAGTCTAGGAGTTCAAGACCAGCCTGGGCAACAGAGCAAGACCCTGCCTCAGTAACAAATAAAAAAGTTAGCCAGACATGGTGGTGAGCGCCTACAGTCCCAGATACTCAGGAAGCTGAGGTGGGAGGATTGTCTGAGCCTGGGAGTTTGAGGCTGTAGTCGGCCATGATCATGTCACTGTACTCCAGCCTGGACAACAAAGCAAGACCCTATCTCAAAACAAAACAAAACAAAACAAAACAGCCAACATGAGAGTGCAGAAGGTATCCCTTCAATAAACAGATTTCCTTTCCTTTGGATAAATATGAGCATAAAACACAAGAATCCACTGACAAGCCAAACAGCCTTCACCATTCTCTAGGGTTAAAGAATAATACATCCTCCCCTTCCTACTTCAACAGGGGATCTAAGACAAGCTTTGGAGCAAATACTCTTAATTCCTTTATCCTGCAGCCTAGAGTTTTGGTGACTATCTTGCCATGAACTATACAACTTGAATATATTAATGAATTACTAGGAGCCCAAAGAAGGTATCCCAAATATCTAAAAAAAAGTTTTTCTGGCTTATCATAGAGCTTTAAATCAATAGTAGTCTCATCCCTGCTCTTTCTACATACCATACACTTTTAATTTGAGCCTTATAGTCCAATACATTTTAAGTTCTATACTATGATCTTCTGCATTTTCAAATTAATGGGCTACATTTCAGGCTTCATTTCAGGCTTCAGGTGCAGTAAGGAAAACATGCACCTGTTCCACTGAAATGTTTCCTCTTTTGTTATGGCCCTATCCTTTTTAAAACACGTGTTGTAAGAAGACAAAACGAGTTACACAGTATCATACTCCTCTCCCTTTTCCTAATTACTCTGGTGATTTCCTCTGAAAAGTGTAGGCATAATGAGTCTAGGGTCTTTGTATCTGTCCCACTTTAGATGACAAGCATCATAAACAAAGCTGTAACAAATTTCAGTATTAACTATGGACTAACAGACTGGTGAATATCAGTATATCACTTGGGCAAATCAAACAAGATTTATTTATCTGCAGGACATGTTAGGAAGTTCATAATCAGAATATACAGGAAAGTGATCAGAAATATTCTTTTTTTTTTTTTTTTTGAGATGGAGTTTCGCTCTTGTTGCCCAGGCTGGAGTACAGTAGGGCAATCTCAGCTCAATGCAACCTCTGCCTGCCAGGTTCAAGTGATTCTCCTGCCTCAGACTCCCGAGTAGCTGGGATTACAGGTGCGTGCCACCATACTTGGCTATTTTTTTGTATTTTTAGTAGAGACAGGTTTTCACCATGTTGGCCAAGCTGGTCTTGAACTTCTGACCTCAGGTGATCCATTCGCCTAGACCTTCCCCGACTCATGAGATTGGAATATGCCAATTGAATAGCCTATGTATCTTCCATCAATCTACTGCTAGATATCGGTTAATTTTACTTCTTATTGAAATACAAATGTCAGTAAAGAAGTTATCAACTAAGAAAATGATTATTCCTTGCTTAGTTTTGTAACAAATATTAGGAATATAAATCCCTAATTCTGCTGAAATTCTCATATAAGCCTTCTTTTTTATGTTTTGTTGTTATTGACTTTAAGGATGTGTTCATATTTTACCGCCAAACTCTTCACAGTCATCCCCCTCCACCTATTTAGAATGACTATGTAGTGTCTTCTTGAGAAAGACCATTGGTAAAATCTAGAAACCGAGACAAAATGATGTCTGAGCAGTCAAAGATAAATGGCACAACCAGATTATATGTACTCTCTCAATAACATTGTAGAGAAGAACTACTAAAAAAGTTTTCTCTTTTCCTTCAGTGGTAATGGAAAATTCAAAGCAGCAAATTTAAAATGAGTAAGCAGGAAAATTACAGCAGTCTGGCAATTAGGAAGAGGAGAGAGAAAAAGCCTATTGTGAGAAGACCTAAATATGCAAAATGCAAAATATTTCACGTTAATGTTAGCAAAAACTTAAGGGCCAACATAAAGTGTATATGTTCATTTTTATATTGTATCTAAGAAGAATTATTGACACTTAAAATGATGGCTTTTTGTTAATTTTAAACTGCAATTAAAAATGTACATTTTATTCAGAGGGCTACATGAAGACATGTCAGTAACACAATTTAGTTACACTTTGGTCAAAGTAGCTATTTTTTAAAGTGTTGATTCTTAGGCACTCCAGTGAAAATGAAACTTGTTTCTCACTTTTTCCACTTAATCATGGTATATCTTTGAGTGATTCTCTTAACATCACTGAGACTCCGTTTTCTCATCTGTACCTAATAACTGCACTTACCCAGATTATGTGAATAAATGCTCCCTATTAAATGCTTATCACATTACTTAATACATTCATCTTGAATATTTATTATTATTATTATTATTATAGATTTATTTTCTGAGGTTATTCCAAACTCTTGAAATTCCATTTTAGTAACATAGTCACCAAGTGACTACATTATATTTTATTATTAAATTTATTTATAGATATATGTAATTATAAATTATATATAATTTTTAATAAAATTATTTTATTATTTATTATATTATATTATATTTTATATTATATTTTGCTTAACCATTTTTCTTGAGAATGTTAAGAGTATATTAGATGTTATATATCTTTGAAAAACATGTAGGAGTTTGAATATTCATTAGTTTTTTTTAATAAAGTGGAATATGGCAAATCTCATATAGTATTAATTTTAATGTCAAAGAGGCAGTGGCAAATCAAAAGAGCATCACAGATTAAGGGTATCAAGAGGGCAATACAGTGTATAGAAAAGAAGTATAGTCACAAAGAACGTTTCTGATTTGTGTTTTTCAGGTACATCTAGTTCTTCTATTTGTCTACCTATAGGTGCACTCAAAACATTTTAATTTATTTCATGCGTTGTCATCGTTATCCTCTGTATTGCTCTGAGAAAGAAGATGTTACTTGTTTGTGAAAAAAAGGATGAGTGCAACAGGGCTAGTTTCAATCATTTAAAAAAAGAAATTCCAAGGGCTCTGGCAAGACCCGTCATGAAAAGAGTTGTTATGAAAAAATTTTTTTCCACATGCTTGGTAATTCCCTCACTGAAGGATATATCTTTGCTAAAGTGATAGTTTACTCTGGAATATTACAAAGGTAGGCTGTTAGTTATCATTAGTACTTACGGTAAATTGAGTTTAAGAGTCTTTACTGAGGACAGATTTTTGCACAAGAGAATATGGATCACAGACAACTGGTGGAGAGGAAGCTCATTGAGAGGTAAAAAAAGGTAGAGATTGGAAGGAGATTTTTCAAAGAGACTATTGCAGTAGTCAAGATGAGAGTTGATGGTGGTCTGGACTAGAGTAGCAGCAAAGGGGACTGAGGGATTAAGTTTGGGATGGCAAGATTTGCTGAAGGAACAGCTGTGGTAAAAGAGCAAAATGTAAGAATTGTCCTGATGATTGTTTGTTTTCTGGTGTTAGATGAAGAAAACTTTTACAAATATGGGAAAGATTAGAGGAAGAACAAACTTTGGAAAGAGAATCCAGAGTTCAATTTTGAACATGTTAATTTTGAAATGCCTATTTTACATCCAAGGGAATAGGTTAGTTATCTCTATATATGAATCTGAAATAGATGGAACACATAAGGACCAGTGGTTTAAGTTTTAGAGTATAATGAACAGACTCTCCAAGGGGACAAATCATAGGTTATGACTCTCACTATTATAGAGTGGAAATAATATGCAAGTTCTGTAATTCGAGTATTTTCATGCCCAACGAAGCATTTGAAAATATACTTTGGTCAATCTCAAGAGAATTTGAATCTGAATCTCCAAATGTTTTACTCATAGCATACTCTTACAATGGACTGCCATGAGGGGGAGTGTTTGGGCTGTATTCCTCTTATGGGTATATTAATGTCGCTATATCTCTAGGTCACAGAATGTGTGAACCAATACCTCATTTGAGACAGCCTCACATGGAGAACGTAAGAGCCATTCTCTTCTCACATACAGGTAACTGGCAGGTTTGTGAATTTGTTACTGTTATTTTGTACACTTCAAATTTAAGATTTAGCCTTCCAAATTAAAACCTGCATTTGGTAGCAACAATTATTTTAGAAATAAATGAAAACAATGATTTCGTTAAATATATAATCCAATTTCATGAATTACTGGTTTCCAATGAGGTTGTATTAATATTAATGTCTTTGAATATTTCTATTCATTCCCTGATTCAGATCCCCTCCCAACATCACCAATTGAATGACGGTTTTGATTTGCATTTTTTCAGATTATTAGTAAGTATGAGTATGTATTCATATATTTGTTAGCCATTCAAGTTTCCCCTTCTGTAAGGTTCTTGTCTACGTTTTCAAGTAGTGTCTGGTTGGCTGTTTATATTTGCAATTTTTTTTTTTTTTTTTTTTTGAGACAGAGGCTTGCTCTGTCACCCAGAGCTGAAGTGCAATGGCACGATCTCTGCTCACTGCAACCTCCGCTGCTGGGGCTCAAGCGATTCTCCTGCCTCAGCCTCCTAAGTAGCTGGGATTACAGGCGCCCACCACCACGACTGGCTAATTTTTTGCATTTTCTTTTTTTTGAGATGGAGTTTCACTCTTGTTGCCCAGGCTGGAGTGCAAAGGTGTGATCTCGGCTCACTGCAACCTCTGCCTCCTGGATTCAAGTGATTCTCCTGCCTCAGCTTCCCAAGTCGCTAGTATTACAGGCACCCGCCACCACTCCCAGCTAATTTTTGTTATTTTTTAGTAGAGAAGGGGTTACGTCATGTTTCCAGGCTGGTCTCAAACTCCTGACCTCAGGTGATCCACCTGCCTCGGTTACAAGCGTGTGCCACTGCGCCCTGACAATGTTTTGTATTTTTAGTAGAAACGGGGTTTCACCATGTTGGCTAAGCTGCTTTCAAACTCCTGACCTCAAATGATCCTTCTGCCTCGGCCTCCCAAAGTGCTGGAATTACAGGGGAGAGCCTCTGCACCCGGCCAGAAATTTTTTATATCTTAAATTCTTTACATAGTAGATATTGATTACTTCTTCCTGTTTGGCATCAGTCTGTTACATTTTTCAGTTATACCATTAGGGGAACAGAAGTCTTTAAGGGAAAACCAAAAGTCCACTTTTTATGGATAAAAAGTGGATGGATTTAACAATGTTAAGTCAAACTATAAATTGTTAATAAGTTTGAGTTTGGGGCACTGATGTCTTTATAGTGAAATTTCTTTCAGCCACAAATATATTATCCATTTATTCAAGTCTTTCTAAATGTCTTTTAGGACGGTTTTACAATTTTCTCAACGTAGGTGCAATTTTTGCTAGGTTAATTCTTAGGTACTTTTAATTTGTTCACTATAATTAATGATATTTAAAAACATTTCTAGCTGGTTATTAGTTGTTTAGGAACATTTTCAGATTTTTAAAGTTAACCAATATTTGGAAACTGTGCTAAACTCTGTATTTAAGTTTTTCTGTTGATTTTGATTGTTTTTCATGAAGTTGATTATCTTTTTTACAACTAATGACAGTTTTGCTTCTTTCTTTCCAATCAACACCTCTTTTTATATTTAATACCTGCAATAACAGTTATCTTTTTCTTGTTTCCGATTTAAAAGACCATGACTAAAATTTCCTTACAGTTAAATATGATATTTGCTGCAGTATGACCGCTAAGCATATTATCAAGGTTAGGAAATATTTTCTTATTCCTATCTTCTTTGATTTTATGATAAATATGTTGTTGAACTTAAGAAATAATTTATTGGTACTTGTTGAGATAATCATGAATTTTTCATAGCAATTTACTAATATGATAAATTATATTGACAGTTTTCTAATGTTAAGCCATTTTGGAAATTGTTCTGCTTTATATTTATAAGTAAAAGAAGGCTATAATTTTATTTTCTTATATTATCCTTTCCTGGCTTTAAAATTAAAATAACTCTAGCCTCAAAGAAAGATCTCAGTAATTTTATAGTTCTCCCTTTTGGACATGAATAAGACAGATTTATTCCTCAACAATCCTGCAGGTCTGTTATTTATTTATTTATTTATTTATTTATTTATTTTGCAAAGCAAGTCTTTGATTTGGATTTACTTGCTTACTAAGTTATTGGCCTATTTAATTTTTAAAGTTTTGTGGCCAATTTGCCACTTTCAGAAATTTATTCGTTTTGTATAAGTTTTCATATGACTGTTCACAATATTGTTTTGTTATTTTTGCTATTTGTTGCATCAGTATTAGTTTTCCCTTTTCATTCTATATTGTTACTCTGTATTACAGAAATAATTTTCTGAGTGTTACATGCCACCAGGTTGATCAATTAATCTCTAGAAAAAAATTTATATGTATTCTATTTGTGTTCCTTTTTATTGATTTCTGCCTTTAGTTTTATTATATTCTCCTTCTCATTTTGTTGAGTTCCTTGTTTGCTTCTTTTACTCAATATTGACATCTGGTATAGTTAAGGTGATATATTAATTCTAAGTGCTCCTTTAAATCTGTCCAATAATTTTAAATTATGTAAGCAAATTTCTTTAATACAATGTTTATGCTTCATTATGGCTGGGAGTTTTTCCCCTTTTGTTCACCTTTCTGTGTCCCAAGTCTCTTTTAACCTAAAAATGTTGTTTTTAAGCTTTTGTTTGTTTTTTTTTTTTTAAATAGGGTTTCACTGCATCACCCAGGCTAGAGTGCAGTGTCTTGATCATGGCTCACTTCAGCCTCAACCTCCTGAGCTTAAGCAATCCTCCCATCTCAGCTTCCTGATTAGCTGAGACTACAAGCATGTGTCACCATGTCCAGGTAATTTATTTTTATTTTTTGGTAGAGACAGGGGTCTCACTATGTTGCCCAGTATGATCTTGAACTCCTGGCCTCAACCATTATGAAATTGATTGCTTAACTACATAATTTGAATCTGGATTTTAAAATAATAAATGTAAGATTTTATTTAAAAAACTTAGAAAATAAGATTATGAGAGGTGAGGAGAATTATGCTAAGGTATACGTGTTGGGAAATTTAAGAAACTGACTTAAAAAATGCATATGTATTGTCCTTAGTAAGTTACAAGAAAACAGCAGAATAATAAAATATAACTCTTAATGTAGCAAAAGAATATTTAGCATAAAGAAAGATAAGACAGAAGAAAATATACTAAAATGAAATATAAACAATTTAAAAGTCCTATTATATCAATAATTACAACACACAAATAGGTTAAGTCTGGGTGCAGTGACTCACACCTGTAATCCCAGTACTTTGGGAGACCAAGGTGGGAGAAGTTTTTTTCCAAGTGTGCAGTTAATATTTCTCTAATAGAGGAAGGTTAAAAATAAAGTGATAGGAAAATATATGGGAAAAATACATGTAATAGAATGATATACATATGCTTATGAAAAGACATGTATAAGAATGTTTATAGCACCACTGTGAAAAATGCCTCCAATCTGAAAAACAAAGAAATGTTCATTAATAGAAGAATAGATAAATAAATTGTAATATACAGTATTTATAGAATAGGATACTATACATCAATGAGAATGAATAAGCCACACTACAGGCAATAACATGGATGGATTTTTAAAATCTACTGTTGAGTAAAAAACCCAGACACAAGTGAAGACATATGCTATGATGCCTTTCATATAAAATTCAAAATCAGGTGAACCTAGTCTATGGTGTTAGAAGTAGGAGAATAGGTCAGGTGCAGCGGTTCATGCCTGTAATCCCACTGCTTTGGGAGGTGGAGGCAGAAGGATCATCTGAGACTAGGAATTTCAGGCCAGCCTGGGCAACACAACACCCCATGTCTGGAAGGAAAAAAAAAAAAAAAAAAAAAACTGGGCATAGTGGCTGCACATCTATCATTCTAGCTCCTTAGAGGCTGAAGTGAGCGGATCCCTTGAGCCCAGGAGTGAGTTATGATCGCACACCACTGCATTCCAGCTTGGACACCAGAGTGAGACTTTGTCTGTAAAAAGAAGCAAAAACAAAACCCCAAAGCTTTGTCCCAGCTCCTTATGAGAGGGTGGTAGTAGTAAAACAAAAGGCTTCAGGAGGTGAACATTTGATGCTTTCTTTGTCCTTTTTTTGTTTTTCAAGAGCCAAGAACTCTGGAGGAAGAAGAAGGAGGAGAAGAAGAAGGAGAAGGAGAAGGAGAAGATAAAAAAGAATCCTCATCATTAATGCAAGTGGAAGGAAACTCTTCACCAAGGAATTGATCACATCACGAAAGGTGAAATCATTACGGAATTGATTGCTTAAATATATAATTTGAATCTGGATTAAAATAATGAATGTAAGTTTTTTCTTAAAAAGTCCATTGGTTAAATTCAGCTTGAATTCTTTGCCATTACATCAAGAGCTAACAGTTCAACAATTGATCTCACAACCTCCCACCTCATTTCCTTTCTCAGTCCAGGTAACAGGAAAAAAAAACTTTTTCTTTCCAAACACTTTCTCAGTTTCCCCAGTGGTCACCTTTGAAAAGGGAAAAATGTGTGAAAATAGGCAACGCTGAATATAAACCACTTAATTCAGCCTCCGCTCCTGTGAGGGCGTGGGGGAAAGCCAGTGGAAGAGGGGCTAGAGAGGAGGAAGAGGCGGGAGGTGCGGCGGTTCACAGGTGACGCTCCTCCCGCCTCCCAAGCAGAGCTCCAGGCGCACATCCGCAGTCAGCCACCTTGCGTGCGCCTCCAGGAGCGAGGATGGAGAGGCTGGTGAGCGGGACTGGGGCTTGGGAAGGCGGGCGCAGGGTGGGCGATGTGGAGCCGGTGGCCCTGGGGCGGGCGGCGAGTGGAAGGCGCGGAGCTTCGGCTCTCGCCACAGTCCGGTCCGGGGACTTTATCAGTGGTGTTGATGGCAGCGCTTTTCTCTAAGCGGTTTACCTTGCTGATTAGCGGATTTTGCCTCAAAGGGTGGTTTACAGGCCGCTGCTGGCGTCCGGATTCTCCATTCCAATTCCCTGAAAAAAAGATGCGCCAGGCCGGGGCTCCGGGGGCGCTTGATCCGCGCTTGCAAGGCTGGCGCATCATCCCGGGGGGCTCGGCTCGGCTCACTGGCTCCAGCTCCCAAAGCTGGGGAGGCACAGCCTATTTTCAGTGCCCCCAAAAGGGAATGAGAAATGCTGTATTGGTTCCATGTTGGCACCAAAAGCCGCGGCGGAGATACAGATTTCCAGGTTCGCTCTCTCCGGGAGAGCTCCAGCGTCTCTTTGTTAGCCCCTTTCTCCCTCCTAGCCCTTGCCTGGGGGAAGCCATGAAGGATCCGTTAAAGCTGAAGCTACACTTGAGAGAGCTGAAATGCTCTGTGATCACGATGCTTTGAAGGGTTAACCCCGGGTATCTAGAGAAACAGACATTTTGTTTATTCGGAACCAGCTTACAAGACAAAAAACGGAGAAGGTTTTCATATACCCTATTGGTATATGAAATCCAAATACAATGGTATTGGTATAAAAATCCAAATACAATGAATGCCTCAAGACAATTTTTTCATGTATGGTTTGTTGGCAAGACCACATAGCCAATGATTTCACTGTCTTTCTTAACAAAGGAGAATGGTGGTCTGTGAGCTATGCTCGACTGCAAGCTAGATGCTGTTAATCTTCTTTATAACTATCCTTCTAAAAATGAATTATTACCTGGTTTTAGACATAAACAGGCGGAAAGGCTAATATTTCCAAGTCCTTGTGACTACATGTGGGATCATGTGGATTTGGACATAGAAACTTGCTGAGGAAGAGGCATGAATAGGGGTAATGTAGCTGCCAGGTGGGCAGCTGTCTGGTAAGACCCAGGTTTTCGTGAACCCTGGACTGCATGGCAAGGGTTATAAGTGGGCTTCTTTGTTTTCGGGACTGTAGTTCCCCCTATGTTATTTGATCGATTAATATTTTTTGGCTATCTAACACGTATTAGCGTTTACTATAACCTAGGCTCTATACTAAGTGCTTTAATTGCCTAATTCTCATAATAACTCTGAGATAAGAACAACATTTATTTAGTGCTTATTTGTACCGGCAGTATTCTAGGAGCTTTATATACTGCTTCATTTAGTCTTTTTAACCATTAGATTGGTACTGTTACTCTTCCGGAGTCTCAGAGAGGTAAAATGATTTGTTTTGCTCACAAATCTAGTATTTGTTTTAGCCCAGGTCACCTCCCTGTAAATATATAAACACTGTTGTTTTCAGATTGGTCATCTTTTCAGTTATTCTGCATGGACTCAAGAAAAAAAAACTGTAAAATAAAAATACGTATCTATTTAAGAGTAAGGCTTTCCTTCTGATTTCCTTTGCCTCAATCACTGTGTTTTTGTTTCTTAACATTGCTGGCTCCCAGTCCACGATATGTGGTTTGGTATGTATCTGCTTTCTCTCTCGTCCTAAAACACAGATTTTCTCTATGAGAACTTGTGCATTCTGCATTCTTCATCATGGCCTCTGCTAGAGCCTGGATTTCCACGTCAGAGAGAAGCCTAATGGTTGAAAAAAATATCACATAGAATTGGAATGCCAGTATCTGTCTCCACAATTGCCTTAGCTGAAAATAAAACAAAATGTGTTGGGTGGGCACTGGCAATGGAGCCTGAGGAAACATTTGGCCTGATTTTTTCTGACTTTCCTAGATAATTATATAGGATGAAACAGTCTCAGTAATACTGAGAAAATTATCGAGTTACCTCTGCTCATTTCAAACCAAAGCCTTTGTGAGTATAATGCCCAGCAGTGAATGGGCAGGATGAGCAGGTCTTTGTAGACTGTGAGTATGTGTTCAGGAAGCTGAATCATCTTGGATTTCTCAAAAAGCAGTAACTATGTTATTAGTCTTAGACCTGTGAAGACAGGAAGAGAAGTCACAAGGAAGGCATAGCATGCTTATGGTATGCTTGGGTATCGAATAATAAAATCTATCTGCAAAGAATAATTTGTCCTAATGGCACCTTCAGATGATATAATCTTGAATTCTCTGTAGCCTTAGAGATGTAAAGAAAAAGCAACTTACGTCACAAAGATCAGTATCACTGTATACTATGATGCCACTGCATGGGGTCTGGGATGAGAGTCTAAGTGACTGGTTCTCTCTAGCTGAAGACAAGAAGACACTCAGGTATGTGGTAGCAGTTGGGATAGGCCATGGGGAGGTGAGACATCATTCCTTCTAAGACATCTATCCTGCAAGATCCATCACAGGAACACGATAGTGATGGAGACTCCCTGTCTCTGGCAATTAGAGTGGGTGCTGAAGAAGAGCCCTTTTCCAGCATGCCAGTCCCTAACATGATGCTGGCTCTTCACCCAGACGACGACAGCTCTGGTGCTCAACACACACAACCACCTCCAGGGTACAAGTTGTCCCCAAGAGAGCTGAGACAATATTGGCTCCAATTTTTATCATCTGATTGATCTCCAACCACAGACCCTGACCAGGACAATTGGGGGCCCTCTCCTTATAGCTCCACTCCTAGGAAAGATCACCACTAATGATTACCAGGTAATTTTCTACCCCTACCTATGAAGGGACTTGGTTAGTAACTTCTCTTGCTAGAGGAAAAATGAAGCTTATTATATAAGATTAATGTTTGTGAAACACCTGTTATTTGGAATTGGTTTGGTACTTCCTTTTGAAATTTCCCTCATTAAGTTTAGGTCATGGCTATTTCATAAGGAAAGAAAAGGGCATGATTGACCAGAATTAAAATTAACAAATCCATTGAGTAGGAGGATATTAGAATTGAGTGGCGCCCGTTGGACAGGAAAAGGAAGAGAAATCCTTGTGGTAGGTAAAGGAGGAGATATTTAGATCCTTGAGAACTCTGTTCCCCCACCCGCTGCTCCTGAGCCCACAGGAAGAAGGCTATCACAAGACAATAAAAATCCCAGAGAAATTGAAAGGCAAACAGAGAGACACAGCTTGGAGTGTTAGTTAAGGAAAATGAACTCCAGCAGGGAAGTCATTGTATCTAAAAGGAATGGCAAAAACAGGGCTTAGTTAAGGCAAACACTGAGAATGAGGGGATGGAATTCCCACAGGTGGAATACCACCCTTTAACAATCATCCTGACTCTAAAGCAAGATCATTTAAGTGATTATGGTCCAATAGTCTAGAAATAAGCTTTAAATTATAATAGCAACAGATGGGGCTAAACAGGAGCCGATAAGAACACATAACTTGAGAAAGGGATGCCCATGATGGGTTTATTAAGGAAAAAGTGGTCAGGGCATCCCACTAAGGCAACAGGATTCAGTAGATATTGAGGTTCTTGGGGCCAATGAGACAGGCGCAGAGAGACTACCACTTTATGGAAGACTGTGATCATACTGCTAAATACCACGAAAGAATACACAGAGCCAAACAAGAGACTGTTTCTAGTGAAACAAGCAGCCAATGTCCCAACCTCAGGAATTTAACTCAGTCTGAGAAAGAATAGTAGTTTCAAAATTGTCAAGTCTGCTTTAGTATTATATATTTTTTTCACTGACAAGAGAGAATGAAAGATTGATAGCTGGGAGAGTGGCGGCGGGTGAGGGGTGTTGGCAGGTAGTAAGCATACTGGAAGCAGGGTCTCAGGGTGTAGGGTATATGGTGGGTCTATTTGGGAAGTAGTTGTCTTCTCTCAAACTGGAAAGCAGATGGGTGTGTTCAGACAAGATCTGGAAGCTGTGGCATGGGGAACAAAGGGAGATAGGACCCCTTTGGCCCTGGAGGAAGAGGCATGAATTTTTTTGGAGCACTAAAAGTTCCAAAAGACCTAAACAGAAAGTGCTTCAGAAGAGGAGGATCTGTATAGCAAGATGACTGTAATCAGGCTCATAAAAGTAAGACCTTACATAAATACAAGTGAGGGGGAAGACATTTCATGTAGGAGGAATGGCTCAAGCAAAAATACCAAGGCGGGAAATTGCGTGGTGCATTTAGAAGTAGAAAAGGCTAGCTGGCAGGGAGGGGATACATAGGAAGGCAATGGAAATGAAATTGCGAGAATGAAAATAGGCTAAGAACTTTGAACAATTTTCTCTAGATAGCTAGGAGCTGTAGAAGAGGATGACATCTTGTGCAAAGAGGAATTTAAGGAAAATTAATCTGTTGATAGTGTGTAAATACATTAGCTGGATAGTAAACTAAGTTAGGGACTATATCTGCCTTATCCACCATTGTCTCCAAAGCACCTACCATAGTGCCTGGCATGAAGTCAGACTCAATAGAGATGATTAATAATAGAATAAATGAAAGAAGTACAGTTGTCCCTTGGTATCCATGGGGGCTTTGTTCCAAGACCCTCACAGATACCAGTTGGTGGATGGTGCAAGTCCCTTATATGAAATACTGTAATATTTGCATATAACCTATGCATATCTTCCCATATTTATAAACTCATCTCTTAATTATTTATAATTCCTAATACAATATAGATTCTATATAAATAGTTCTTATGCTGTATTATTTAGGCAATAATGACAAGAATCTGTATATGTTCAGTGCAGATGCTTTTTTAAAAAATATATTTTCCATCTGTGGTTACCTGAATCCATGGATACACAACCCACAGATACAGTGGGCCAACTACATTGGCAAAAGTTCAGTTGCAATAGAAGACAAGACTACTGCACAAAACACCCAGTGTTATGAGCTGAGACTAGGGTGGTAAGGAACAGACACTTCACATGCGAGAATCTAATGTGCATAGTGACTAATTACATATCTAGGTAGGGCAAAAATGAGGCATCCTGGCTGACTTGAGTGCCTGGGAGATAAAAGTCCAAAAGAGTAGCTGTTTTGGGGTAAAATGATGATTAATTTGATGTTACTCATAAATTTAATTATTCATCATTCGTTCATTTTTGTATTCAACTGACAGCATCTTAGGCAGAAGAAAAGATAAAAGAACTAATGTAGGAAATAGCTTGGTAATTTCAAGTTATTGAAAGAATGGTGAAGTGGAGCTTGGTGTGCAAGATGGAAAGTACAGTGACATGAGATTGGATAGCATGTTTGTAGGTGCTGAGCTGCAGGTAATGACGGATGGGGTCATGCTTTATTACTAGCAGAGCTTCTAGACAATGACTCAAAGGCTTTCAGAGATTCCTTGGCTCTGTGGACACCTGTTTAAATGCTTTTTAAATACAGCTTCAAAATTAAATTTAACATATTGTTGCAGGGCAGTGAAGCAGGGACTGCTGTGTGAATATCTTTGGTCATTCATCACAACAATGATTTAGTCACAGCAATAACAACGTACTTTTGTGATGATGCATCAATTTTTTTTTTTTTTTGAGACGGAGTCTCACTCTGTCGCTCAGGCTGAAGTGAAGTGCAGTGATGTGATCTCTGCTCACTGCAACCTCCACCTCCTGGGTTCACGCCATTCTCCTGCCTCAGACTCCTGAGTAGCTGGGACTACAGGCACCCGCCACCACACCCGGCTAATTTTTTGTATTTTTAGTAGAGACGGGGTTTCAGTGTGTTAGCCAGGATGGTCTCCATCTCCTGACCTCATGATCCACCTGCCTTGACCTCCGAAAGTGCTGGCATTACAGGTGTGAGCCACCACGCCCAGCCATGTCAAAATTTTTAAACCAACAAAACTTTATACATAGAGGAGGCGAGATGGTGTGGTAATTATGGTTATGAACTCTGAAACCAGACTGCCTGGGCTTAAACCCCTTCTCTGTCACTTCATAGCTGTGTGACCTTGGGCAAGTTACTTAACTTCTCTCTGCCTCATATTCTTTATTTTGAAAATGATGATAATAATAGTGCTTCCTATATAGATTTATATGAAATATTGGATGAAATACTTTGTCTCAAGTGCTAAGAACAGTGTCTAGTACATAATAAATGTTCAATAAATGTTAATGTTAGTGGTTTAGTAACCTTATGCAAAATATAAGTTGGAGTATTATTTTAATGTATCATCTGGTGTGGTTTTTTATTCCAATACTTTATTTTTGTCCTCTGGTCTTTCAAATCAGACAGTTAAGTATCCATTGCTTTACAGGAGGAATACTAAGCAGAAAATAAATTTTAGTTTCGAAAGCCAAAATTTTGCAATACCAAGAGCCTTGGCATTCCAGTTTCAAATCACTAAATGCTAAAAGACCAAGGATATAATGTTCATGCTAGAAAGGGTTGATTGGATGAATGCAGCGTGATGGAGGAACCAGCTTTTCTGGTTCAGGGAGGTAAATATTTTCTAGGCTGGGACAGCAAAATGGGACTGATTGATGTCTATGCTCAGATACCAGTTTGCATTCCCAAAATAACGCCCTGGGCCCAGGCCCCAGACAAGGGAAGTTCAGGACACTGGAAAATAGAACCTGCAAGTAGTTGTTGAGATCCAAGAAAAAAATAATACCTGTGTCTCACAGTCCCCTAAAGAGACTGTAGGAGGCAGCATGCTTGTCCATCATGGCAAGTGAACAGTAAAACATGTTCAATGGGAATTTAGGCAGAAAGCCTTGTAGAATTTCCTTTCATCCAGCACAAGGGGAACCCAGGGACAGCCTGGAAGAAGATGAGCGAGCACCAGCTCATCTTGTGAGCAATAATTGCACAGACTAATGACAGTGATGACTTGAGGGGAACACAGCCATTTTAGCAAATGCAAGCATAATAGATGGTTGTAATTAGTGATTAGTAGTCCTGTCTTATAGCTTGGCATTTTGTGAACCCCCAGGAATGTAGATGCAATGCTGGAGATTGGGACAATTATGAGGTGTTGTGGTGGTGAGACACTGAATTGACAGAGATTATGCGACATTGATTGGAAGTGAATTCTTACCTCTAGTTGGAATAGTAACATGAAATAAAAATAAAGTTCAGTTAAAGACAGATAAAAGTTATATTTTTTACTCATTTCTATTCTGAAAAATAGAAATATAGAAAAAATATAGGAAAAAGTTACATTTCTTGCCTTTGCCCCTTAGTATGAGCATACATACAGACCGAATGAAAGGATCCATGGCATTATTGCAGAGAAAAGTTCAACTGCCTCTACCCTGACTTACCGTTTTATCGAAGGGTGATGCCCAGAATAACATTCTCTTGAATCCTCTCATGATTTGTAAGAAGGTCAAGGATTTCCGCCCAAACACATGAACATAAGGCAATGAAGGAAAAAATCAAAGCCAGTGCTGGTGTTTAAAACATGCAATTTATGTATAAGACTTGCAGAATTAAAATCAACCTCAACAAAATTCAAGGCAGTCAAATAATGTTCCTGAAAAGTGGTTGCCTGCTGAGTTACATTTTTAATATTAACAGATGTGGGTTTTTGGGGAAGTGGATGCTATCAAACATTTGTATTCTCAGCATTTTCTGTATTTATTTAAGGCAGTTTGTAAGTGATCCTATGTCTTTGAGACCTTGCTCTTGATAATGGTGGCTTTAGGAGCAAGGCCCCAAATTGCCAGGGATTGCTATTGTGTTGGAGCCATGCTGCTGCTTTTCCCTCCTCATATCTTGAGCATGCTTTGTTATTTCCTCCATTTATAACCTCTAGTTCTGCTCCCACAAAACCAAAGTTCTCTAGGGGGTAAAAACTTAGCTACACCATTCCCTGAAATAGCGATTAGCTTGAAGCTTCCTTGGCTTTGTCCAAATCCAAACCCCCATTTCTGTACTTTGCTTTCTGTCTTCAGGTGATCAGGATGCCCTTCTGTCATCTGTCTACCTACAGCCTGGTTTGGGGCATGGCAGCAGTGGTGCTGTGCGCAGCACAAGGTAAAGAAGCTCAGTTCCCCTGCTTGGAGCCCAGCAGACACAATTTCTGGGGTGAAGACATTTAGCCACTATTGTTTGTGCTGTGCTGTGCTGGTTCCATTTGTCTGCATGAATTATTTAAACATGTAATCTGCCTGGAGGCGTGAGAGTGGTTCTTTCTGCTTTCCATATTTTTGTTTTCAATGTTGAAGCATGCTTTGATATTTAGAAGCCATTTCCACAGTAGATGAAACAGACTTATGAAAAATATCCTCTATTTTTAAATGTCATTTTTCACTTACTGAACTGAATTACAAAAAATGATTTCCTGTGTTTTTAAAGATATAGGAATGCTTGAATTCAATCTTTTTGGAAAGTAATCTGGCAGTAAACCTTAAAATTGGGTGTGTTACCTTTTTACAGAAAAATGTAGAAAACAATGAAATATAGAAGTTCTATAGGCTCATATTACCTGTTGTATAACAAATTTGGCTGTGCCATCTACTTATCTACCAAAGTTCCTAGCTCTTCCTTCTCGGTTCCTCGGGAGGCCACACTCACTTTATGACTGGCCTTTTCATCACTTGCAGTGTGATGTTGCTCAGCATCAGCCTCCACAGATGTGGCTGATGCTGGTGATGCTGGTGAAGATCAGGTGGGCTCATGCCCATCTCCAACTCTGGTCCACAACGTTCATCACAGGACTTACCAACTGACCAGAGGAATCTAAATTAGATTCCATAGAAGTAGCAAAGAATTGTAAACTTCCTCTAAATGATTTCTTCCATAATCAAAAAGAAAAAGAACTCATCTAAGAGTTGAACTCTAGCTTTGAGTCCCCTTTCACTCTGCCTTCTAAAAGTAATAAATTCTTCAAATCTCTGGTCTGCAAAATCTCAACAAACTTTGAAGAAACGTCAATCCTAGCAACAGATAGTTTTCCAGAACTTTTCACATCTTCCAAGAGTACACATCATTTAGTTTTGAAATATGCAATACTCAGGGGTCCAGCCTGTATTTGTTATACCCATCTTTCATTCCCTGATATTGTTGGGGAGTTGTTTGTTTGCTCAGTCTTCTTTTTTTTTCTGCTTATACTTGGCAACATTTTATCCATATTATCAGTCTTTAAAAACAAATTTGGATGCTTGTGATCAAGTTTACATTTTGTGTAACATTTCTTTAGTTAGTGTCTTTATCTTTATTAATTCACTGCGATATTTGAAAGGGAGGGTAGGAGGTTTGGAAGTAAGTGTATTCATTTTTCAATATCTCTTCTTTTCTATTAAATGTTGCTAGAATTAAATATGTTTCTCTGAGAACTGTCTCCTTCCTTCCTTCCTTCCTTCCTTCCTTCCTTCCTTCCTTCCTTCCTTGCTTCCGTCACTCCCTCCCTCCCTCCCTTCTTCCTTCCTTCCTTCCTCCCTCCTCTCTCTCTCTCTCTCTCTCTCTCTCTTTCTCTTTCTTTGTTTCTTTCTTTCTATGAAATTTCACTCTGTCACCCAGGCTGGAGTGCAGTGGCACAATCTCAGCTCACTACAACCTCTGCCTCTCGGGTTCAAACAATTCTTCTGCCTCAGCCTCCTGAATAGCTGGGATTACAGATGCCCGCCACCACACCTGGCTAGTTTATGTATTTTTAATAGAAACAGAGTTTCACTTTGTTGACCAGGTTGGTCTCAAACTTCTGACCTCAAGTGATCCACTCACCTCAGCCTCCCAAAGTGCTGGGATTACAGGCGTGAGCCACTGCACCCTGCCTGTCTTACCCATTTCTATAGAATCTTAACATGTTATGTTCTCATTGTCATTCAGTTATAATAATTTATGATTTTTTTCTATGCTTTCTGGTGTACCTAAGACTTAAAAGAAGTATGTAAATTTCTAATTTTATTGTATTATGAACAGTGTTCAAGGCCATACGTAGGGTAGCAACTTTTTTGTGGCCTATTTCGAGTTCATTTTGGAGGAATGTTTTATGTTTTTTTGAAAAGATTATGCATCCTTTCTTTGAGTAAAGTGTGTGTGTGTGTGTCTGTGTGTGTCTTATTTTTATTCATTTAGTATGAGTTATTGGGTTTGTAAAGTTTATTCTCTTTCATTGTATTGACTTTCTCAAAAGTTTGCCTATTTGTTATTATGTTGAGATTTTACATCAAATAATCTATCATAGTATGAGTTGCTAATATTGGAGAAGCGAAGAAATTTATATTTATACACACACACCGCCCCCCCCCAGAGATCTACATACATATAAAGTATATAGTGTATATATAATATAAACATATAAAACATTGATACTATTAAATACCTAAAGTGTATATATAGGCCGGGCGCGGTGGCTCAAGCCTGTAATCCCAGCACTTTGGGAGGCCGAGACGGGCGGATCACAAGGTCAGGAGATCGAGACCATCCTGGCTAACCCCGTGAAACCCCGTCTCTACTAAAAAATACAAAAAACTAGCCGGGCGAGGTGGCGGGCGCCTGCAGTCCCAGCTACTAGGGAGGCTGAGGCAGGAGAATGGCGTAAACCTGGGAGGCGGAGCTTGCAGTGAGCTGAGATCCGGCCACTGCACTCCAGCCTGGGTGACAGAGCGAAACTCCGTCTCAAAAAAAAAAAAAAAAGTGTATATATAAATATATATTGTTTTTCAACTGTTATTTTCTTTGTGACATGGACTTACCTTGTCACCCAGGCTGGAGTACAGTGGTGTGATCATTGCTCACTACAACCTTGAACTCCTGGCCTTAAGCAATCTTCCTGTCCTATGCTCCTGAGTAGCTGGGACTACAAGTACATGCCACTACGGCTTGCTTATTTTTACATTTCTTATAGAGATAAGGGTCTCATCTCTTGCCCATGCTGATCTTGAACTCCTGGCCTCAAGTGAGTCTTCTGCGTTGGCTTCCCAAAGCACCGGGATTACGGGCATCAGCCACTGTACCTGGCAGTTTTTCAAATTTCCTGTTTAACTTTTTTGCTTTAATAATTGTTTAAATATACTAAATTGAAGGTTCTCAGTATGATTGTGGATTTAAATTTTTTTCTTTGTAATTCTATTAGTTTTGCTTTATATATTTCAGAGTTATGTTGTTAGGTACATAAAGATTTATGATTAATGTAATAGATCTGATTTTAGATTGTTCCTTTCAAAATTTTGAAAAACACTTTTTTTCCCTCTTGCAGTGCTTTTGTCTTCCTTTTTTTTTCTCTCCTTTTAGAAGTCTTATTGAACTGATTTTGGAACATTTAAGGCTACTCATTGAATTTTTCCTTAATCCCTTCCATATTGTTATCTCTTTGTGCTACATTCGAGAACAATTTCACAGCCTGTTCTTACTGTTTACTAATTTACTCTTCTACTGAAGAGTAGAAAACTCTTCATCCGTTTTGCTAAGTCAGCCAAGCTGTTGCAATTTTATATTTCTCATTTTCTATATCTCTAATTTCTACTATTCATAATGCTTTTATTACACTTTTATTACACTTACGATATCACATGTATTCATGTCAAATTATTTTCTTATGATATCTTTATTCATTTTGTATGAGTTATTGGGTTTGTAAAGTTTATTATTTCTCTTTCCTTGTATTGTCTTTCTCAAAAGTTTGGCTATTTGTTTTTATGTTGAGATTTTCCATCAAATAATATATTATCATATGAGTTGCTAATATTGAGGAGGGGAAGAAATTATCACCATAGCATTTAGTGAAAGCAGAAGGTGTGTAAATTATTATTTGTGTGCCAAAGCTTCAAGATCCTGCAGAACATTGTCCCATACGTCTCTTTACCTATGTTCCTATATACACTCTTGCTTCCTGGAGGCAGACACCTCTGTTCCACCCACTTCCTTTGTAGAATGTGTTATGTGTGTGTGTTTATGTGGAATGCATAGGGCTGCTCCATCTTCTTTACTTAAAGTGGTCACTCTGCCTGTTATTCTTTGGCCTTTTCCTGCTCTTTGCTTCTACTTCTGCAAGCATGGACGAGATTGTTGAAGCTGCTATCCTACCTGGCAGTTTACATCTTCAATCTCATTGTACTTACTTCGCAATTTACAGAGATTATTCACAATTTCTTGTAACTGAGAGTTGCTTTCTTGTTTTTCCACTCTGCTACTATTCTTTAAAGATTGAACAAGCATATTTGAACCTATATATTTCTCTGGCATCATGTAAGAATGTAAATAGATGTTTTCTTCTTTGCATTTTCTCTATCTTTTCTATATTTGACATTGAATATACTTTTTATTTATAATCAGGAAAAAGTGTATGCGTATTACACTCTTTAAATATAAATGTTCTTTTATGATTCCATAGTGCAAGTGGTGACCCAGGATGAAAGAGAGCAGCTGTACACTCCTGCTTCCTTAAGATGCTCTCTGCAAAATGCCCAGGAAGTCCTGATTGTGACATGGCAGAAAAAGAAAGCTGTAAGCCCAGAAAACATGGTCACCTTCAGCGAGAACCATGGGGTGGTGATCCAGCCTGCCTATAAGGACAAGATAAACATTACCCAGCTGGGACTCCAAAACACAACCATCACCTTCTGGAATATCACCCTGGAGGATGAAGGGTGTTACATGTGTCTCTTCAATACCTTTGGTTCTGGGAAGATCTCAGGAACAGCCTGCCTCACTGTCTATGGTGAGAGTCTCTGAGAATCATTGTCTGTGTCTGGAAATACTATTTCCAAGAATGTTTGGAACATAGCCATAGTGCCCAGTTTTTCAGGATTTTAACCACAGAAAAGGTCATGAGAAGATAGCCTTTCATGTCTAGTATAGCTGTGTTTATGATTATTTGGAGAGTTCATGGGGCTACACTGAGTTCTTTGGCTGGAGCTATCTTTTCTCTGAGGGATCCTGCTGTCAAAGGAGAAATTTGAAAACAATGGTGAGGGCAACAAGTTCTCCGTAAGCAGTGATATGATTCAGACTTAGCTTGCCACTAGCAATCAAGTGACCCTAGAAGGGTCCAATCCACTCTCCTCTGGAGTTTCATTGTCCAGACAATAAGTGTGAAATAGATCATTTCTAGAGTCACTTACAACTTCAACTTTTTGGATCTAAGGACAGAGATAGATTGGACTAGCCTTGAGGCAGTTATGATTGTCTTTCTCATTTTGCTTGGGAGGATAGCTCTTTCAGGATTGATAAGGGTACATGGAGCAGAGTCTTTTCATACCTAAAATGATGCCAACTAAAGATATAACTTGGCAATAGCATTCTTTTAAAATCCAAGATGCTTAGTTTGATGAGATTCCTTTCTTCTTAACTGATATATAGCTGAGGTGAAAGATTAGGAAGTGGGAATAAGAGATTACTTTGGAGCATGGCACACATGGCAGTAGTTTTAGGGAGTAGAGGACAAACTTACGGTTATTAGGAATATTAAAGTGAGAGTTTAATCATGCCAAGAATATTGTCCGCAGGGAAGAAAAAGCTTAGTAGATGAGAATGCAAGGGAGACAGGAATGCTAAAAGAAATCTCTTTTACTTATTTTGCCTATAATGAGTCCTCTCTGTAGAATCTTATGTCGTTGCTTTCTTGATTTCCATTTCCTTCATTCTCTCTTTTTCTGTTTCTCCTCCCTGTCTCCTTCCTTCCTTTCCTCCCTCTCTGCCTTCCTTTCTTCTTTCCTTCCTCCTATCTAATTTTTCTTCTTTTTTTTCTTATGTCATATTTTTATCATTCTGTTCCCTTTTCTTCTCTTCCTCTTTTCCTCTCATCTTTCTTTCTCTTTGTCTCCTTCCTTCACTCATAGACTTTTGTATTTTTTTTCCTGAAAACCAGACGCCTCTGAGCTTTAAAGCTAGTAATTCTGTTCTCTTCCACACTGACCTTTCCAGCCACACCTTATACCTTTCATGTAAGCCATTCTTTGATACACCATAGGACCTCAAAACTCAATCTGGCCCATCAGCCATATTCATATTTTTTCACTTTTATTTCCCTTCCTCCAGTGCTCACAGACATTAGTGATCTCAGCCAGAGCCACAGTTCCACAGCCCTACTTCCCCCAACCCACTGTCATCTCCCTGCCTCTTGAACCTATAAGCACAGCCCAGGCTTTCAGTTAGCACTGCCATTTAATTATCTTCTGGGCTCCAAAGCCAACCACAGAAAGACAAGTTTACATTTGTTTAGAAAAGAAAAATTCTATATTCTAACAAAAATGAACTCACTGGTCAGGGGATTTTCAAAAGGGTACAGGCTACAGCTGGCCTGAAAACAGTTTTCTCATGAGCTAGTTATTTTTTCTTAACTTAATCAGGTGATTTCCAATGCTCTTCCAACAGTCATTTCTAAATTTTTATGGTTCTTAGCTATGAATTTCAAATTCGCATTTTGTGTAGCTCTTCCAAAAAGGGATTTTCCAGCTCTCCTCCATGCATCTAATTCATTGGTCCAGCTCCAAGAAGAAAATGGCTATCTCTAAGCAGTAGCCTTTCTATGGGCTTTCTGTTCCGAAACTGCCCTAGTGCCTCTAATAGGTACAGGACACATGTATGGCGGTGCTGATTGGTGGCTATTGTCAAGCCACTTAAGAGGAATACCTAAAAGAAGGCAGAGATGCTGCATTGCCCCTGGAAGAGAACAGAATAATTAGGACTGTTTGGGAGAGAAAAGTATCATCTGACTTCTCAATACTCTATGTCCATCTGACTAATTCTGCTACAGAAAAATTATAGAAAGGGTCTTTCTCATCACAGGTTTGTACTAGGCCAGTCTCCATCCTGCAGATCAGAAAATTAGACACAAGAGGAACTGAAAAGTCCCCAGTTTGGGTAGGATATGCCACACTATCTTTCCAGCCTCCATTATCTTTCTATAAGCATATTTCCCTCATCTCTCTGAGGAGACTGCAGTGCTCAGACCAGGTGCTTAACTAATAACAGATTGTATTTATTTTTTGTCCCAGTACAGCCCATAGTATCCCTTCACTACAAATACTCTGAAGACCACCTAAACATCACTTGCTCTGCCACTGCCCGCCCAGCCCCCATGATCTTCTGGAAGGTCCCTCGGTCAGGGTTTGAAAATAGTACAGTGACTCTGTCTCACCCAAATGGGACCACGTCTGTTACCAGCATCCTCCAGATCAAAGACCCTAAGAATCAGGTGGGGAAGGAGGTGATCTGCCAGGTGCTGCACCTGGGGACTGTGACTGACTTTAAGCAAACCTTCGACAAAGGTAAGAGAAAGTGAGCAAGGTGGTTGTGGTTGTGTCTGTGTGCACACACCTGGAAGGCAGTGAATGTCCTGCAGAGGTTTCAGCCTCTTAGCACAAGAGCTATTTGGAGAAAGAATGGGGCAAATAAGGAAAAAAGAAAAACAGTTGAGGAAACAAAGCAAGTTTTGCTTTCATAAATGTGGTTCATCGCCCACATACCAAATACTGTTGCTGAGATCCATTCATTTATTTATTTCTTCCATTCTACTAACATGTAATTAAGTCTGTTCTGGGCCAGACTTTGTGTTGAACATGAAAAATGCAACGATGAATAAGACTCAGTCCCTAAGCTTCTAGTCTACGAGGGAATAGAGATAAATGGATGGGCAATTGTAAAACTGTGCATTACATTCTCCAGTGTGAAAGCTGTGAGGCACCATGGGAGGACTAGAGGTTGGGAAGGAGGGGCTCAATCTGGGGGAGATTTGGAAGGTTTCCTGGAAGAAGTGACATCTGTGATGAAATCACTGTATAATCTACACTGTGAAAAAGGGACCTCTCTGAAGTGCTTTCATCACCCATTTAGCAAACTACCTCCTATCCGAGTCCCCTTTTGCTTTCTTGTGTTTTTGTCTAAACTACTGTCTCTGGGCCTCATAGATACAAGAGGTGAGAATGATAGAGGAGAGAATAAAGGGAGCAGAGATTATAAAGACAAAAAGTTTTAGCAATGGTAGCCATGTCTTTTCTCTGTGTAGTTTTGAAGCACTGACTCGGGATGAAGCAGTCAGTAATAAGCCTCCTAAAAAATATTACTCCTCTTTTTTGGAGAAATTATGAGCAATAAACTGGAAAAGCTTTCTACACCCACCTCTTTAGTGCAGTGGCCTTTGGAGTCCCTGAAAACTCAAACTAATCAGAAATTGGATATTTAGGTAAATTTGGTCAAAAAGACTTGCAGTGTTGGATTTGGATATTTGTGAAGAGATCTTCAGATTCAGCCATGGCCAAGAGTGTATTTCCCGGAGAAACAAGAACCTAAAAAAGAATGTCTTTTTTTTTTTTTCCAAGAATGCCAGATTTGACTAGTATCACTTACAGTGTTTATATACCGCCTCTATAATGTTTGTTTATTCTGTGAACGTTGACGAAAAATCTTCCATGCCCAAAGCATTATGTCAAGCACTGGAACTGTAGAAATCAGACAAATCCCTGTCTGAGGTCTGAAGTGTTCAGTTAAATAATGATGTGACGAATTCCATTATGGAGGTATGGAGAAGATACTAGAGACCCAAGGAGTTCCTCATTTGCCTTTGCATTGCAACATGACACTGAGGAACTGATATTTAGGCTGAGTTGCATTAAAGACATAGATAAGAAGAAATTTAATAAAACCTTAGAGATGAGTTATCTCTGGGGGTTGAAATCATGAGATTCATGTTTTTTTCTTTATACTTCTCTGTATTTTCCACAATTTCCTCAATAAACATATATTCTTTTAAGAGACAGTATGGCAAAGAATATGCGCTTTAGAGGCAAACAGACTTCCAACCAAGCCTTGGCTATCCCATTTGTTATTCTGATTTTGATCTCAGTTAAAGTCTCAAAGCCTCAGTTTTCTTTAAATCTGTTAGAAAATAATAACTCTTGGGATGTTCTGAGGATTAAATAAGTTTAAAGCTCTTACTACATAGTAGCCAGATAAAACATGTTAGCTATTACTAATATCTAAATATTATTAAAATAATATGAAGTCATGCATATAAACCTACACATGTATGTATTTAAGGATAATTTTAACTAAAAGCTCGACTCTATTGCTTTATCACTTTTTGCCTCAACAATTTTCTCTGTGACATCATTTTCCTTTTTCTTTCTTCAATATCTGTAGGCTATTGGTTTTCAGTTCCACTATTGTTAAGCATTGTTTCCCTGGTAATTCTCCTGGTCCTAATCTCAATCTTACTATACTGGAAACGTCACCGGAATCAGGATCGAGGTGAGTCATCATAGGGAGTTCAAAAAATGACATAAATTAAATTTTATTTTTAATGACATTTAGTGAGTCATTTGAAATTATAAATAAGGGAATGGCAACAATGTATTTTGTTTGTTGTTTCCAAAATACAGAAATGTTGATACTGTTTTAAAATGCGTCAGGGCATTTTCTTGCAATTGGACATTAAATTGGACATTTCTGCTTTTTGTTTGCTAAGATAACTTAAAAGCTAATTAAATTAAACAATGGTGATAAAATCAAAGAATGAAGTCTGGCACCCATGCAAGGCCCTTTCCACTCATTAATGAGAAGGACAATCTCTTCTCTTTTTATAGCACTTCACAGGCCATCTGCCCATTTAAGAGACTGAAATTGTCCAATTATGGTCACTCATTAAGTAGCACTTTCTGTGTTATACTCCCACGATGCCTCAAACACTATCAGCATCATGCAAGTGATCCATGCTTACAGTAACTGTGTCGTGTCGTTCTGCCCTTCTAGACTATAAATTTCTCTTTATCTTTCACAACTACCACAGCATCTTGTATATACCAGGGGCTGAATAAATGTTAATTTACTGAATGAACTGACTGACGACAGAGAGAATTTTTAAGGTGATTTTTTTTCAATTCCTTTTCTTCTATTGTAAATTCAGTACCTCATAAATGTCAGTCTAAGATATTGTGAGAAATTATAAAACAAGAGACACTATAAAGCAAGAGGAGTGAGCTAGAGACGAAGAATGAAATGTCTTTGGTTTCTGAAGACAGTGCATAATTTATTGAAGTGAATACAAAGCTGCAGTTTATGTTTTGTGTAATGGGAATTTGCTAGGGTGAAAGGGTAATATGGGAGTTCCCTCCATTTCAGATGGCTGAAGGATAGGGGTCAGAAAGAAAATGAGTTGGCTTTGATTGCTATTTTAGACTTTGATTAAAACTCTCACTCATTTTTTCCTTTCATTTTATGTTTTATAGAAATGTTTCCTTTAGTTTTATGTTTATATTTTTATGTTTTTGTTCATGTTTCAAGTTTTTGACCACTTTATTTTGCATAATCCTCCAGATTAATTCTTGTAATTTATAAAACACACAAAAAACCTTCAGTGTCAGTGGCCCCTTTGCAAAAGTAGGTAAAGGTATTTGTTCTGTCCAGGAGAGAAGATCACAAATCAGTTAATCTTATTGCACATAATTATTAGCCTATGGAACTCGTAAATGCTCCACAGAAAAAACATCAAAGACAGAAGTCTGTTTGATTCTACTTTATCCGGATATTTTTCTTTTCCAATTAGGAAACTGAAGCTCAGAGAGGAAAGCTGACTTCCTTCCATAAGTTCATACAGTTTTTTAAGAGCAGACGAGGACTAAACCCTGGTGCCCTGACCTTTGCCAAATGTTCTTCCTGTCATTACTGATGCCCCAGTGTCTTGACTTGAAAGGCGCTATTGTCATCAGCTGCATTCACTTAATGTGTGCTTACTGTCAATACCCTTTTCTTTTGGAAAGTGCAAGCAGAAAAGTATGAAGTATTTAAATTCATTTTTAAAAGTCCCTCTTGGGCAAAAGTCTTATAATGCAGTCTTCTCAAGCCCGAGGTAAACTCTACTGGAAAGAGACATGCAAAATTATTACCCTTGTTCATTAAGCATGTCTTGGATTTTCTGGGAAATAGAGTCATTCAATGCCAATATCCGATTCTTGAAGCAAAAAGAGTCAGTTTATTTCTCTGCCTAAGTTTTTTCTCACTTACGAAATAAATACCTGAGCCTATGTTGAGTCCTGTACACATCAGGATTGCCATTGACTGATGATGTCTTCATGACAGATGGCCAATTGAATTAATTCCTCTGAATGTTCAGTGGCATATTTTCAATGACTGGATTTTTGACTCATTTCTTTTCCATTTGTATTGCTTATAAAAGATACCTGATGCTGGGTAATTCATAAAGAAAAGAGGTTTATTTGGCTTCTGAAGGCTATACAAGCACAGTGCCAACATCTGCTTCTGGTGAGGGCCTCAAGCTGCCTCCACTCATAGCAGAAGGCAAAGGGGAGCCAGTGTGTGCAGAGATCAGATGGCGAGACGGGAAAACAAAAGAGGGTGCTGCCAAGCTGCTTTACCAGCTCTCATGGGAACTAACAGAGAGAGAACACACTCGCACCAAGGGCATTAATCAATTCTCGATGGATCTTCCCCCTTAAACACCTCCCATTAAGCCCTACCTCTAACACTGGGGATCAGATTTCAACATGAGGTTTGCAGGGTCAAGTATGCAAAGTATAACAATTGATTTAGAAAAGTTTAACAGCCAGATAATTTGGCTTCATATACTTCAACAGCTAGTAAAACCAAGTGTCGATTATGCTGAAGCTTAAGTGCTCAGGGCTAAGCAAATACTGGTTCATTTAGACCAAACTTCAGGTTATACAAAAAGCTGGGACAAAGAAAAGAGAAAGAAGAGAAAATCATAGAAAACAGCGACACTTTTTATTTCTACAATTAACAAATTCTGGTTGATATTTTGTGAGGAAGGGGAATAGTCCTACACATTTGCCTTCCATTTGTTTTCATTCTTACTTTTCTTTTCTTTCTCTTTTTCTTTCCATCATCTTCTGAAAACATTAACATTTCTGAATGGGCAGGAAAACATGATTGGTCCAAAATAATACAAAGGTTTTGAACTTGGTGACCTCAAAAATGGTGATGTGAACAGAAAAGGAAAGGGAAGAGGTGGAACTGAGAGAGAGAGAGAGAGAGAGTGTGTTTAGAGTTTGTAAAAAAGCAAAGGAGACAAATGAATTAGTTCTTGAATTTATTGAGTGTGAGCAGACAAATAATTATCTTCATGTAGCTGTCTAGTAGCCAATAATAAAAATCTGGTAAGTAAGGTAAGTCTGTTAAGTAAGGTCAATTCTGTGTTGGGTAAATGACCAAAAGAAAAGTTTATTTTAGGTGATAATCACTACTCATTGCTCACAAATGTGTAAGCAAACTTATAGTTACTGATGTTATTTTTACATAGAAGTTAGACTACCATTACTTTTCTCATGATCCTGTATAATGCCAGAGAGCATGATGTTGGTTTTTTCCAACTGTAAAGCAGCACAGGCCATTTCTCTGCACCATTCCTGATAGAATTATCACAGTTACTTCCCAGGAGACTACCACAGTAAGACTAATAAGATTTCAAAGAATATTCTTTTGTCTTTCATGAATCCAGTACTTTAAAACAGTGAGAAAAAATTAAAATTTCCTAGGGAAATTTTCCACCATCTCAAAATAGTTCTTTCTACTAAAACCCAGTGATTTCATAAAGTTGTCCCTTTCGCATATATGACAATGTAGTTAAATTTGGAGTTGAGAATAATCTTTTATTTCTCATTAGTCAGCCCACCAACAATTACGTGCTTCTCAGAAACAAACAATAAAAAAAACTTCACTTTGGGGCAGATCATCATAGACAATCACCCAGTTTTTAGGCAGCTTTATTTTGTTTGGTTTGGTTTGCTTTGCTTTGGTTTGTTTGAGTCAAGGCTGCTTTGGAGAACAATAGAAAATTTAGACAATCATGTAAAATTTATATGCCAAACTTCACTTTTTTTCAAGTACTAGCTAATCCATGTAGAAGTATATTTTTCATCTCCATGAGTTGTATATTTATCTTGATTTGCTTCTCTTCACAATAACCTAACCTATGAATGGGTTCCTGGCAATGTATAGTAACAATGGCAAAGTTAATAACACGTCATTTCCCGGGTAACAGAATGTCACTTTCTCCCATTTTAAGCTTAATACTTAATACAAACAACAAAGATGTTCAATAAACAGTTTGTGATGGTGTAATTGGTCATTAGTTGAAAGGGGAAAGCAAAGAATATCTATTCCCCCCTCCTGAAATAACAACCTTCGCTTTGCTCAGAAAGCACTTTTGCTTCAGATACAAAGGCTGTATGAATGGGTAGCCCTCTGTCTGGGCTGTGTGAAATAAGAATCTTCGCTTTGCTCAAAAAGTACTGGATGAATGGCACTACCCACCCCTACCCCAGTATCCTCATTGTTCCAGGAGGAAGGAATGTGATGCTTTACATGAGAAAAGCAATAGAGAATCTTGAATTCCAAGGCTATTTTTCTGCAAAAATTTTACAAATTTTGCACGATTTACCGATCATGCCAAGATGACATACATAATCTTATCACAAAACCCTTAGCAAACAGATTCTCAATGCCTGGACATTCTTGCCTGGAGCTGTTCTTTGCTGTTCTCTCTAACACCTAAACCCACATGGGCGTAGGTGACTCAAATTTTAAGTTTCCATCTATATGTGGGGAACATCTCTAGGAATCGAGACATCTCAGTCTCCTGCCCAATAATTAAGTGCGTGTTCAGTCCTCAAATGACATACTCATTCCCTTGGCTTTTTGGCCATGGGGCTGCTTTAAGGAGATTAGCTGTCAGTACCTGTTAGATTAATTAATGAAAAACAGAAAGAATGAGAAAATCCCCCAGCTGAAAAATCTTCTAACATCTCTGCTCCTTTTGCATTTTAGCTTGCATATATCCTTTACCTAGTGTTCATTACCAGCTTGTTTTCTTTGGAATCGTCATGCATTTCAGTAGTATGGTCACACCCATGTACTAATAAGCTTGCCTCTAAACAGATCCAAGACCCTAGCCTCTACTAACAAAAGAAACCTACTGTATGCTATTTAAACCGGAAAAGACTGGGCCACTTAATGAAAGTACTCAACATGGCTTATAGAGGGGGAAACATCATAAATGCTGTATTAATTTTCTATTGCTCCTTTACCAAATTATTACAAACTTAGTGGCTTAAAACAACACACATGTATTATACTGCAGTTCTGAGGTCAGAAGTCCAACATGGGTCTCATTGGGTTCAAAACAAGGTGTCTGCAGGGAGACGTCTATTCCTTTCTGGAGACTCTAGGGGAGAATCCTTTTTTTCCCTCTCTCTCTTTTCCTGCTTTTAGAGACT